ATTTGAAAAAAAAGTTTTTTTTAAATATAATGTTGCAAATAAATAATAATTCATCATGAATTCTTTCCCGAAAATTTAATTTCCGTTATTCCCTTTTTAGTAAAAAAAAAACATCCAAATTATTTAATAACAAAAATTATAATATTAACACATTTTATTTTATATTTTTATATTTATTTTTTTATATTTTTTATTATTTTTATTATTTATTGTTTTATTTTTTACATACTGTCACCCTAGCTGGTCACAGTTGTCACCATGGTGACACTGTAACAACTTTGTGGGAGGTTGATGAATGAATTTTTTATTTACCCATATAGGATGTAAAAAAAGCAATCATTTCTCTTTCTCTCTGTGTACGCATTCATGCACTCATTGAGAAGTACTGACTGAGCTTGTGATTGGTCACAGCTTGTCACATGGTACAAGCCTGTTGTGAATAGGCTTTGTACCATGTGACCTCTGTGATCATTCACAGATTTCACATGTAGTATAGCAATGATGTCACAAGTGACATCTTGCTTACTACTTTGCATGTGATCACTGATTGGCCAATCAGTGATCACATGATGGGGACCTCGTACAGAGGTCCCGTCCGACAATCGGTGTTTCACTGTGTCCGGAGGACACAGCGGGCACCGGATCGCGGTGCTGCGCGCTCCAAGGGGAGCGCGGACAAGCAGGGTGCGGGAAGGCCGTTTATAGACGGCCACCCGACCCTGCACTGCCACCGTCCGGCCGTTTATATGCAACGGGCTAGTGGCCTGCGGTCGGGAAGTGGTTAAAAAAGGCAAGGATTAATTCTGGAGCAGACCATTTTGTTCTGTTTTGTGATGCTGCACATCAGCAGAACTACTGTTTATTTCTTGTTTAGTCTGGCAAATTTTCTGACAGACCACTATTTAACCTCCCTGGTTGTATGATTATTGCAGATTTTTGGTGCTGAAAGCGTTACCATTATATTGTGATGGAAATTTGGTGTTTTATATTGTAGGCCTGTAATTTTTAGGAATAACTCACTGAAATCTGTCCAAACAAGAGTCTAGTAAACATCCCGGGTAATTAAAACTTGAAACACGAAATCATAAAATTATAAATTTAATAATTAATCATAAAAAATAATATAATAATAATAAATTGAATTCAATAATATAAATCAAACCAAAAACACTGAAATTTGAAATATAGCGGCAAGTTCGCACATCACTGAGCAAAGTCGCAAAATCGTTTTTCAGTGTCTGATGACGAATTTCCCCACCAATCATTATCACTCAATTCTGCAAGTGGTTTCTCATTTACTATCGCTGATCTCTAGCTGGTCTAAACCACTTTTGACCTAAAGGGATGCTTTTTGGATGCCACAGACATTTTCTCAGTTTCCAGGCAGAAAGAACAGTAAAAATGCAGGCAGGGCACAGGACAAAGCACTCGGGACAAAATGTATGTGAAATGGTTTGATACAGTAATGTTTTACTATGTGATTTTAGTGATTTTAGTGAATGTCACTTTTTGTCATTTTCAAATTTCCTGCCGTTCCGTCCCCCGTATGTCCCGTACGCTCGCAGGGGACGGAACCAGATGACAGATGCCGGCATCCGCCGGATTACATTGCCGGGGACACTGCAAGAGGGACATCGCGGGAGCGCAGGACAAGGTAAGTGATCAAGGGATACAGGGGCAGCACCGCATGGTTTTGGATCAAAAATATTGTGGACATGATATTTTTTGGACATTTTGGTGTGTATGGTTGGTCTATCATTTCCAATTGGTTGTCTTCATGCCATGCATGTTAATGCTCATGTTGAATTACACTAATGTAAATGCACCCTTAACCTCTTCACAACAGCCGAATGCAAATGTGCGGCCTCTCGGCTTCTGGGCCTTGAAGCCGAGCGGGCCCGCACATTTGCATTATATTAAAAAAGAACATATGTGCTGAAAGCACACGCCCTGCACGCTCCCAGCACACATGTACTTACTCACAGAACGGTCCCGATCTCCTCTTTCGATCGGGACCTTTCCCAATCATGTGACTGCTGTAACGGCGTGTCAAGGCGGTCACATGACCCTAAACGCTGCCCGCCTTCTGGCTTCTGAAACCCTTAAAGGGCTGGGAGGCGCCAGCGCGAAGGGGTTAAAACATTGCCATTTCAGACATTTCACCTTTAGATACAGGCATTTCTTAGGGCTTGGAGGGATTGTTATTCTTTATTCAAAGAGCATCTAAACAGCAACCACATCCCTATACCTCTTAGCACACTTGAAGCCCTAGTTCCTCATATCTCAGTTAAATCTTGGTATCATAAAAGGTATTATGGTTATTGGAGACCTATATAAAAAAACACACCCTCAAGTAAAAATCTTGAGGAATTTGGCCTTTCACATTTAGAATGTTTTAAATATTTGCAGATCACACATTGCTTATCAAAACACCCAAATAGAATATTGTCTAGCCATAAAACGGCTCGGACATTTTACACATCCTCTGCACCTAAACAGAAATGCATCTCTCTACACCTTTTCTAAAAGTGGGGGCACCTTTGGGTATATACCTGTTACATTTTTATATAATCCTTTATTATATATATAGGATTACACCTGTCAGGGATCCCGGGTATGACCAGAGGTGTGTGACTGACGCAGGGAAACGCAGACTTCAGACATGTTATAAACAATGTAATTTATTCACACTAACCATACAAACATAAACGCAGTGTAATACTAAAACATAACACAATGCAAACAAACCAACCAACCACCCACAGATTAACAGTACATACAATGCAAGCGTCGTCAGGCAGGCCGGGTCAATATCAGTCAGGCAGGTAGGTACAGGGGGAGCAAGCGGAGAATGGTCGGGGTCACAGGCCAGGTTCAGCAGGTAGCGGGCAGCGTGGTACAGAGGGTCAGGCAGAGGAGAAATGGTCAGACAAGCCAGGGATCAGAGCAGGGTCAGCAGAGAATCAGACAGGAACAGAGAGCAGGCACAGGATACAGGGCCCAAGAGAAACACAACACCAAGGCAGAGTCTGCAGGTCTGAATGTCCCTTAAATACACCAGTATAATTAGTTCCAGGTGTTTGACTGGCTGCAAGGTTGAGTCTCTGATTGCTGGGAGCACCCGCTGGTCAGCCCTGGTACTGCAGCTCATAAGGCAGCTGAGTCCCACTATTGCTGGCCAGTCCATTCCTGACAGTACCCCCCCTCAAGGAGCGGCCTCAGGACGCTCCAAACAGTCCTAGCTGGGCAAAATGTTCCACCGCCCGGGTCTGGTAACTGGCGGGATATCAAAGACTGGCACACACGGGCAGAGGCACATCGGGCAGGACTCCGGGCAGAGGCACATCGGGCAGGACTCGGCAGAGGCACATCGGATTACCAGGGCGAAGCAGCAGGCAGCGGGCCACCAGGCGGAGCAGCATGCATCGGGCCCCCAGGCGGGGCAACAGGCACCGGGCTCCCAGGCGGAGCAGCAGGCAGCGGGCCCCCAGGTGGAGCAGCAGGCACCGGGCCCCGGGCAGAGCAGCAGGCACCGGGCCCCCGGGCGGGGCAACAGGCATCGGGCCCCCGGGCGGGGCGACCGGCATCGGGTCCCCAGGCGGGGCGACCGGCATCGGGGCCCCCAGGCGGAATTAGCGGCGGGCGCCGGCCCCCAGGAGGGGCGACAGGCATCGGGCCCCCAGGCGGGCGTGACAGGCGTCGGGCCCCCAGGCTGGGCGACAGGCGTCGGGCCCCCAGGAGGGGCAACAGGCATCGGGCCCCCAGGCGGAGCAGCAGCGGGGGCGCTGGGCCCCCAGGAGGGCGACAGGCATCGGGCCCCCAGGCGGGGCGACAGGCATCGGGCCCCCAGGCGGGGCGACAGGCATCGGGCCCCCAGGCAGAGCGGCGGGCGCCGGGCCCCCAGGAGGGCAACAGGCATCGGGCCCAGGCGGAGCAGCAGGCAGCGGGCCCCAGGTGGAGCAGCAGGCACGGGCCCCCGGGGCAGAGCAGCAGGGCACCGGGCCCCCAGGCGGAGGCAACAGGCATCGGGCCCCCCGGGCGGGGCGACCGGCATCGGGCCCCAGGCGGGGCGACCGGCATCGGGCCCCCAGGCAGAGCGGCGGGCGCTGGGCCCCCAGGAGGGGCGACAGGCATTCGGGCCCCCAGGCGGGGGGCGACAGGCATCGGGCCCCCAGGCGGGGCGACAGGCATCGGGCCCCCCCAGGCGGGCGGCGGGCGCCGGACCCCCAGGCGGAGCGACAGGTCTCGGGCCCTCAGGCGGAGCGACAGGTCTCCAGGCCCCAGGCTGGCGGCGGGCGCCGGACCCCCAGGCGGAGCGGCGGGCGCCGGGACCCCCAGGCGGAGCGACAGGTCTCGGGCCCCCAGGCGAAGCGCGGCGGGCACCGAGTCACCAGGCACGACAGTGGGCTCCGAGTCAACTGGCATGGACCGCTGGCACTGGGTCAGACATTGGATCGTCTGGCTGGACAGCGGGCATCGGGTCACCAGGCATCAGGTCATTTGGCTCGACAGCGGGCACCGCGTCATCTGGCAAGGCAGTGGGCTCCGAGTCAACTGGTATGACCGCGAGCACTGGGTCAGACATTGGATCGTCTGACTGGACAGCGGGCATCGGGTCACCAGGCATCAAGTCATTTGGCTCGACAGCGAGCACCGCGCCATCTGGCAAGGCAGTGGGCTCCGAGTCAACTGGCATGACCGCGGGCACTGGGGCAGACATTGAATCGTCTGGCTAGACAGCGGGCATCGGGTCATCAGGTACCGGATTGTCTGGCTCGACAGCGGGCATCGGGTCACCAGGTATGACAGCGGGCACTGGGTCACCAGACATCAGGTCATTTGGCTTGCCAGCGGGCACCGCGTCATCTGGCAAGGCAGTGGGCACCGGGTCACCAGGCATTGGATCGTCTGGCTCGACAGCGGGCACCGAGTCACCAGGTACGACAGCGGGCTCTGAGTCAATTGGCACGACAGCGGGCACCGGATCAGGTACCGGATCATCTGGATCAACAGCGGGCATCGAGTCAACTGGCCTAATAGGATCGTCAGGCTGGATCAGTTCATCACGCTGGGTAGAGGCATCAGGCTGAATGCCGGCGTCCGGCTGAGTAGAGGCTTCAGGCTGAGTAGAGGCTTCAGGCTGAATAGAGGCTTCAGGCTGAATAGAGGCTTCAGGCCGAGTAGAGGCTTCAGGCCGAGTAGAGGCTTCAGGCCGAGTAGAGGCATTAGGCTGAGTAGAGGCTTCAGGCCGAGTAGAGGCATCAGGCCGAATAGAGGCTTCAGGCCGAGTAGAGGGCTTCAGGCTGAAGAGAGGCATCAGGCTGCGTACAGGCATCAGGCCGAGTAGAGGCATCAGGCTGCGTACAGGCATCAGGCTGAGTACAGGCATCAGGCTGAGTACAGGCATCAGGCTGAGTAGGGGATTCAGGCTGAACCCACGGAAGGCAGGTTCACCGGTTTGGATACTGGCAGGATGGTATTGGTTGGAAAGAATTTTCGCTTTTTTCTGGTTTTAACTACTGGAGCACTGCAAGTAAACGCAGGTCTGCAAACGAATGGAGCAGCTGGAGACAGAGAAGAACTGGAGGATGGAACAGGAGAGGGAGCAGTTTGCTACAGAGGGCTTTTTTACAGGGTTAAAGGCAGGATAGGTGCAGCGAGTGGGAACAGGGTACTGACATGCGGTAGATAGCAGGGCAGGAGGAGCTGTTGGGAATGCAGGAATAGAGCTTTGAGGAAATAGATTAGAAGCAGGACTGGGTTTTTGTAAGCTGACTGAGGATGGGTGTGCAACAAGTCTGTCCATGTCTGCAGTATGGGTTGAACAAAGCTGAGCTTACACAAAGCCTCTCTGACCAAAGACTGCACTGCGTTTATACAATCTCTTAGTATCTGTGGTGAACATGTGGAATAACGCTCCAGAAAGTAACCCACATCATCCTCTAATAACCACTCCAGGGGACTCTACCTGGTCTGCACTAAATGGTGGCAAAAATTCATCCCTGCATTCGGGGGTACCAAATGAAACCAACTCCGCACAAACCTGAATCAATGGCTGCACCTCAGAGAATTCTGTGCCCTGATCTACTAGAACATGAACGAGCTGTATACATTCTAGCAGTTCATCCCTGGGATACTCCTTCAGAGTTTGATAAGCATACTCCCTGTCATCAAACACTAGCAGATATAAATACGCAACCTTATCCAGATCCATCCTTCCCATCAACAAGTCAAGATGGCTTCCCTGTGCAGCCACTTCTGGTCAGGATTGGCCTTGGTGTAATGTCAGGGATCCCGGGTATGACCAGAGGTGTGTGACTGACGCAGGGAAACGCAGACTTCAGATATGTTATAAACAATGTAATTTATTCACACTAACCATACAAACATAAACGCAGTGCAATACTAAAACATAACACAGTGCAAACAAACCAACCAACCACCCACAGATAACAGTACATACAATGCAAGCGTCGTCAGGCAGGCCGGGTCAATATCAGTCGGGCAGGTAGGTACAGGGGGAGCAAGCGGAGTTGGGTCGGGGTCACAGGCCAGGTTCAGCAGGTAGCGGGCAGCGTGGTACAGAGGGTCAGGCAGAGGAGAATGGTCAGACAAGCCAGGGATTAGAGCAGGGTCAGCAGAGAATCAGACAGGAACAGAGAGCAGGAACAGGATACAGGGCCCAAGAGAAACACAACACCAAGGCAGAGTCTGCAGGTCTGAATGTCCCTTAAATACACCAGTATAATTAGTTCCAGGTGTTTGACTGGCTGCAAGGTTGAGTCTCTGATTGCTGGGAGCACCCGCTGGCCAGCCCTGGTACTGCAGCTCATAAGGCAGCTGAGTCCCACTATTGCTGGCCAGTCCATTCCTGACAACACCAGAGGACTATGGGAAAATAGGTTATGAGCTGGATCCAATAGTAGGGGTGTCAGTGTCCTTCTACTCTCCCGTATGTTGTTATGTCAAATGCATATCTTAAGTAACTGCAAAGATAATAATTAGGCTTTTATTGATCTATTAACCCCTTCATGCCTAAGGGTAAGACAAATCTTAACGCCTAAGCAGAATTTTGCAACTTTTACATGTGTTAGTAAAACCGTACATATCATCACAACTACTTTGTACATCCAGGTGAATTATACCTTGTTTTTTTCAGGACAAATTGGGTTTTTATTTGGTGGTAAATGGTAATGGATATCTCCTGATTTTTTTTTATTATCAAAGGAAAACTGGCCCAAAATAGTAAAAAAAAAATCTTTTTTTTTAAATTTAGCTGTGTTGTGTTTCTCGTTACTACCATAACCTACCACCAAAAAACAACACAAAATAAATTCTCCAGCTCTTGACAATAATAGCGATACCATATGTGTATGTGATTTGTTGTTTGTACCCACAGTACAGTCCAGAAACAATAATGTCCATTTTGTTTTTTTGTTTTTGTACATAAAACTCACTGACACTGACACCGTTACCAATTTAACAAAAAAAAAATAAAAAATCCTGACCTTGACCCAAACACTAACCCTTACACTGAACTAGATCAAACGTTGATCTAGGGATTTTTTTCTTTATTTTAAATTTTTTTTTTATATTTATTTATCTTTTTTGTAACAGTTCGTTTTTTTTCCCTCTATGCAAGGAGAGACAGAGTTACATTGTATCTCTCTCCTCCATTCAGAGACAAAAAAACAAAACAAGGGGGGGCGGGCTGTACAGTGACTGATCACAGTGATCATGTGACCCATAATCGGGAGTCCCGGGTTCCGATCGTTAGAACAGGACCCGGGGCTCTCAGTGACACCCGGGTCTTTTTGCTGGTAGCGCACTGGGCTGCACGCTCCCAGCACAAAGAGAGGTATGCAAATAAGCGGCCCACAGAAAAAAATCCCAGTTCTGTGAGGCCGCATATTTGTGTGTGATGTCAGCATGAAAGGGTTAATATATGCATATATATTAATAGTCTGGGTACAACAAGAAAATAGTTGTCTCCCTCTGATGATCTTTTCAGCATCTTTCTGGTTTGCTATATGGACAGCACTCATGCATGTTGATAAACAGGTGTTGTGATATTGTTTTTGTAAGTACAAAAATGCTGCAAGTGTTGGCAAACATCTCTTGATTATATATAAATGCCACATATATAAAATAATATACTGTTTATCAAAATTTGGGCAGAAAACACCACAAATGAGTTCTATATGTTGGCTGTAAATTGGTGAGATAAGGTTTATGCATTGGTATTGCTTTTTTGACCTTGTTGTGTAAAAACCTTTGTACTGACATGCCAGAATTGGAAACCTATCCAAGAATACATGTAAATTGGTGGTCCCCATGTATGGGTTTGCCCTCATACATGCAAGAGAAAATCCACTTATTACAATTTACTGAAGGTATAAATGTTCCTACACGGGCTTGTCTTGTGGCTCTAGATATTGAGGTTCTGTAAGATTACAGGTCATTGTGAAATTTCTGATAGAAAGGAATTTCTAATAGAAAGAGGACAGGTGCATTGACATTACAATATGTTAAGTTTGACATTGTTGGAATTTATTCTAAGACATAATATCTTTGCTTGTGATGGATTCCACTGATTTACACTGCCATGTAGGGTGTAGCACCTATTCAGTGAAGTCTAGATGACATTTTCATGGTATGGGAAGCATCCAGGATGGGTTTTACCTTTTTCCAACTAGCCTAAATCAAAACAAATTTAATTTAAATGGCCTGTGAATGCCATCAAATTTCATTTTTATATTTTCAAATTGGCAAACAATCTGACTGCATTTTTTTTTACAGTTCTTCATGTCAGCAGCACACATCCTGCCTTCCTTGTCTGAAGCATACCTTTAGCCAATACCTGCAGTTAAGGGAGAACTGCTCCAATGAGAAAGATTTCAAAAGGGACTAGACATCACAGCCTTGTGAAAAGGTAAATCTACAAACTACCCTTTCTGTAGAAAAAAAATATTTTTCTTTTCTTGTTTGTTTATTTTTTTGTTTATTAGTATTATGTATAGCGGAATGTCTTGTAAAATTGATGAATATGTTTTTAAATTAAGTATTGAACATGTAGAACACTTAAACAACTGGGAAATTAGCAGGTGTGAGTGCTCCACCAAATGGTTACTAGGTAAAGCTGTATGGGCATCTGGCAGATCCTATTTACACACTAGGATCTATGGCTAGGCTAGGATTTGTCTGGCATTAGGGATCTTCCTGACTCCACCCTTCTTCCCTTGTATCCTCTCCAGGGAGCAGGGTCCGGGTGTGATGACAACAGGGTTGATACCCAGGGCAGAGCGAACATCAAAAATAAAATATAAAAATAATAAAGCAAATAATATCTGCGTTATATCTAAAGATATAAGGCAGCTAGCACCAATAGATAGTATACCAAACCTAAATAAATATGCACAAGAGTAAAAGCACAGCATCAATCGTACAAAAACTTCCAGTGAAAAACTTGAACGTAAACCCAGAATCGTGCAGCAGCATGATGTCAGCACTGTATAGGAGTTTACAATGCTGACATCATGCCACTGTGCGATTCCCGGGGCGGCAGCGGTCATGTATGTAAGCTAACATTGCTTTGATGTACTTGGCACGTTTTATGCATATTTTATAATAAATACTACACTATTGGACGAATATCTGCTCCTTGTGAGCTTTATTTCATCACAGTCCGTTCACACAGAGTGGTACCTGCGAATACAGTCATTTGGCAGTTATGTGCATTTATGGAACTTCTGTTAAGACACAGGGATGTTCATGCTATTGTAATGACAGTCATCAGTTTTGGAGAGTATTTAATCCACAGGGAGACGGTGACAGTTACTTTATTGGAAGCAAGAGCACTTTGTGGCGGTGGACTGTTACTTTCAAGTTTTTTCACTGGAAGTTTTGATTATATGGATGGTTATTTTACTTTCACCTGGTTCTTGAATTTTGGTTTTTTGTCATACGCTGGTTTTTGTCATATGTTTTAATTAGATACACTAATTGGAAAAATTTGGCACTGCACTTTTACTCTTATGATGGGAGAAACATCTCTGTAAAACTCTGTTTAACAATAAACAGACTGTAGATGATACATCGGTGTATAATTGGCAAACAGTGGGACAATTTTAATGAGTAATGCAAAGCTGAAATTTACTAGAGACAAAGATCACAGGCAAAGGTTTTGCTACAAGAAATAGGATACTGTAGAGGATACAGCAACATAACTTTGGCCAGTATCAGGCCAGGTTTAATCAAGGATAAAAGAATAAAAAAAAGCAAGAATTTATTTTACTACAATAATTAAAAGACTGCAGATCACATGCAGCAGTGTAAATTGGCCAGCAGAAGAACAGTTTTAATGAGCCAAGCTAGGCCCAAATTTGCTTGTGCAAATAGCATACGCAAGTGTTTTGCTAGAAT